ACTGCCAATCGTATACAAATATTTTTAAAAATGCTAATCACTAGCAAACATTGCAATTTCGTATCGAACGATAAAACGTAAGTAACCCTGGACTTGCCTATATGTATAATTAAATAGTTAGCTAATGAATTCCTTTTTATTTTTAACAAATAAACAATTTGAAATTATAGATGAATTCAAAGTTTACAACTCTCGTCGTCTATTACTTAATTCCTGACACACATGTAATATTTCTAAGATTGTTGGTTCTGGTTGGTATAATTTTTTATTCGTTCTCGTTAATTTTTTCTTCCTCACTATCTAACGAAAAGTTGAAATCATTTTCGCTAGCAATATTGTGTAAAACACAGCACGCTCCGATGAAATTACATAGTTTCTTTATACCTTTAAACTTGCAGTAATACAATTGTCGAAATCGCTGCTTCAATATGCCAAGAGAATGCCCAATTAAAATGCGACCTTTACTTAGTTGTCTATTGAAATATTTCTGGTCCCTTATCAAATGGCCATTGTCGTTGAATGGAGTTATAATGCAATCACTACAGGGATAAGCCGAGTCCCCAAGCAAATAATAATCTAAAAAAAGTTGTAAATATCTAAATAAACAAGTATGTTCTACTTATTTGCTTCATAAGGATGTAGGCCCAAAAATTTTACCCCAGCACAATGTTGTTAGGTTTTTATAAACGGGAGAGTTTTGAAGAACCCAACTGTCGTGGATAGATCCCGGAAATCCGACGAAAACATTGATATCACAAATGCCTTGCAGACCTAATGTTACATGACCTTTTCGGTCAATATAATCGTCTTTGCGTTCTGAAGGTTGACTTATTCTAATATGCGTCCCATCGATGCAGCCTAAAAAAAAAATTGAGTTTAATATACAACAATTTATTCCTACATCATTCTTAAATATACTTTTACCTATTGACTTTGGAAATCCAAGCTGAGCAAAGTAATTGATAACTTTAGGGTTCAATCCGCTTATGAACATTGTTACCCTATCAATTATTCGGGAAATGCTTGAGACTGTTAAATTAAACCGGTCGGATAAATCACGGAATCTACAAGCCTCATGACCGGAAAGCCACAAAAACATAGTCAGACTTTTCGCAACGGACAAACGCTTATAATCCCTAAGTATTTTACATGATTCGGATTGCTAATATCTCGTTGTTCAACTAGCGAACAGCTCCTTGGAAATCCGAAAATGTTTTAAGAACTCTTCACCAGTGTATGTGGGAACTACTTCTTCAAAATGGTTTTTAATTCTATTTCTGCTTTGCCGTATTTGGATTACTTCTTTACATATCGCTTCATCTTCTCTGTAGAAGTTTTCCCTTATCAAATTTAAGAAATCATCCGAGTCGCTTGAAGAGTTTACCAGCTCATCCAGTAAAGGAGTACTAGAAGCAGCGGCACATGCTTACTATAAATTAATTAATAACATCGAAATCTCTGAAATATATGAGGAATTACCCTGCAGGGAGTGACGTTAGCTTATACCTAACTTTAGTCTGTTTACGCGAACACTAGTGCTAACTATTAACTGTGTATTTTGTTC